GTCAGCATACATCCGGCCGCATATTGAGTATGCCATCCAAACTTGGAACCCATGGTTACGACGTAATCATAAGATTTTGGAACGTCCACAAAGGCTCGCAATGAAGATGGTCAAAGGACTCTATCATGATCCATACATGGGGAGAATGCAGTCGTTGGGTCTATACTCTGTTCAGTATAGTCGGATTCGAGTAGACTTGATTTTGGTGTACCAAATATTACACAGCCCAAACCACCCTTGTTGCTGACTTCTGACGTTGTCGTCAAACGTTCATCTACGGGGACATCCATTCAAGTTGGTACTCCAAAAATCTCGAATGGACTGCCGACGTCATTCCTTTGCCGTCAGAGTGTGCACTGCCTGGAATTCCCTACCATCTCATGTTGTATGTGCCGAGACGATTGATTCTTTCATGGTAAAACTTGACGAATCATTAATAAACATTGCCTTCCAACATCCATGAGAACACAAAACACAACCAAATGCAGTTTATGGAACTTTGTTCATCACTGTTACTGTNTCGTGTTAACACCCTATGGTACAAGAAAAGCATCTGCTTGTAAGTAATACCCATAATCAAACTTTGACTTTGATCTCCGATCAGCTGCACACGTTTCTTGAACGCGAAGGTTTGTTGAATGACCGTCAGTATGGATTTCGTCCTCGTCGATCTACAGATGAGCTACCGGCGCTGACATCTCATCCCTGGTCAACGGCACTCAACAACCACGAAGAAACTCACATGGTCTCGCTTGACATTGCAAAGGCCTTCGAACGCGTTTGGCATGAAGGCCTGCTGTCCACATTCAGATTCCACCCGTTTCTCGTATCGTGGTTGCAATATTTCCTCAATAAGCGAAACATCGCCGTCTGAGTCGATGGGGTCCTTTCTCAGCCATCCCCTATGAATGCCGGTGTTCCCCAAGGTTCCACACTTTCGCTCACCCACTTTTATCTACTTATCAAAGATCTCTATCCAAAACCTTTAATCCCATTCACTGCTTTACCGTTGTTCTCTTTCTTACGCCACAACCCATCAGACAACTATCACTATTGATTACGATCGTAACGTCATTAATGCATATCTTGTCTCCGAAATGGGACTCTGCTCCGCACGGAGTTCTACCGACCA